TCAAAGCCCAGTAATTTTACTTAAGAGTCCACAATGTCATATCCACCCTGCTATTCTGCTTTTGTTGGACAAGATAATACTGGGACACCAAGAGTATGGCCCCCTGACACCCTTTTAGCTCAGTAATGAAGTCACTCCTGAGGTTCACCCTTCAGTCAAAGATTAGACAGGCTCACAAAAGAAAACGAGATTAAAGGGGCACACCAGCCCAGGGGCAGGGACTAGAAGGCAAGGGGGGATAGGAAAGCTGGTAATAGCCCAAGGTTGAGAAGGGAGACTGTTGACATATCGTGGGGTTGGTAACCAGTGTCAGAAAACAATATGTGTACCGTTTAATGAGAAGCTAGTTTGTTCAGCAAACCTTCATCTAAAGTACAATTAAAAAAAGAAAAAGATAATACTGGGAAAACTTGGCCGCTACCTAGTATACAATAATGGCTGGATAAATGATAGATTTTTCATCCTCCAAACACCCCCTTGTTCATCATCATTTGTTTCATTTGACATTTGTCATCATAGCCCTTTGTACACGTCTAATAATGTCCCTCTGCTAGACTGTGAACTCCACAAGGGCAGGGGTCTCTGTTTGCCCACCACTGTAATGCACCCCGCTCACCCTTGACTGCTCCGGGTCTTCCTGCTTCCATTCTTCAGGGAGTGATGGGGTCCTGCATCTCAACAACAAGCTTTCTGGCCTGCTGACCCTAAATGTGGGACTGAATATTAGCCTGGTGGGGAGGGGAGAGGACACAGCCCTACCCCATCAAGCTCAAGATGGCCTGCTCTGTGGAAGGGACCTGGTGCCCAGGGGGAATGACAGACAGACTTTGGGTACACAAGACCTCAATTCCCTGGACCAGAGATTAAGATACAGATGAGTGCCCCCGTCCCTGCTATTTTTTATCATGTCCATTCTCCTCTCCTGGAGCTTGGGTAGAAGGCACCTGGATGCCTGCCCCAGGCTGTACTGGGATTGCTAGGGGAACAGACTAAGGCAGGCACGTGGGACAGGGTTAGGGTGGGAGGGCAGGAGCAGGCGCAGCCAAGGCGATGAGGCTTCCCCAGAGGCCTGGAATAAACTTGAGCCTGCAGAGGTTCGCTCCTCTCCTTGGCAGCACTGAGAACAATTCAGACTGTTGTCCATGATCTCTCTGCCCCGCCGTGGAGGCAGGACACCATTATGCACATCTCTACATCCTTCATACCTAGCACAGGCATGACTCAGGGTGGACGTCCAGGAAATGGGAGGTCTGGCTCAGGCACCTCCTTGGGAAGCCTTCCTTCCCTGACACACCCTTTCTTACCTCCTGCCCCACAATGGGTACCCCAGCCCTGGTGCTATCTGTACTGTGAGCTCAAAAGACATTTGTTAAAGGAAAGTTGGCAGGTTTGGCCTCCTCAGAGCAGTCACCAGACCCTGCATCTCTCTGTCTGGAGTACTCCTCCCCTGCATTCACCTATTAACTCAGTTTATTT